ATGCCAGAAAAAGCTTGGTTTAAGAAATTATGTTGTTCACATCCTAAATTTTTTTCTGTTAATTTGTTTTTATTCCCAGCATCAATTAATACTCTTTTTTTAGTGAACCAACTCTTTCCATTATAATATTTTATTAACAACAGGGCACAATCCCCTGGACCAACATTAAACATGTGATAGCTCATTTCCCAATATCCTTCTTGTGGCCCCTCTTGATTATATTCTTGTTCTGAATTTTCTATTACAGTACCTTTATCTTCTGTTGTTTGTATTGTTTCTTCTTCCTTAAGTTCATTATTTTGTTGTTGTTTTTCTTCTATACTTTCGTTACTAATAAGGTCTTTACCTTGTTTATCTTTTTTTATATCTTCTTCTTGTTTATTAATTTTTTGTTGTATTTCAGTTATGTGTTCACTTTCACTACCAAGCCCTTCTTTATTAAGTAGACTTGGTATTTCTTTGGTAAGTTCATCTTCTTCTGTATGGTTTTCTATTTTTCTTTTACTGTCATTTTCAATTTCTTCAGTATTATCTTTTATGAATTTACCTTCTAATTTCTCTTCATTGTTATCTTTTATTATACTTTCTTTTATTTCAGTCTTCTTTTTTTCTTCTTCTTTTAATTGTATAGTGTTGTTATTTTCTATGTCCACTTGTTTACTTTCTTTTTCATTTTGTATTTCTTCTATTTGTCTTTGTTTAATATTTTCTATATTACTTTCTTCATTTATTGGTTTAGCTACATCTTTTGTTTCAAGGACATTACTATTATTATCACTTCTTTCTGTATTATTTTCATGTTCTCTCTTATTTAATTCCTTGCTACTTATTATATTTTCAATATCTTGTGCTGTTTCATTTTTATTTTCATTCTCTTCACTATGTTCATCTTCTGTAGTTTTTTTTTCTTGTTTTATACAGGTATCATCTTCTTTTTTTATTAGCGCTATATCAGCCCCACTTTGTTCTTTTTCATTAATCGCTTCTAATTTATTTTCTTCTATCTTTGTTTTTATTTCTTGTGGGGATACTATTTTTACTTCTGATGTTGTTTCTTCTTCTGTTTGTTCTTGTCCTTGAGGTTTTTCATCAACCATCCTGTTCTTTTCTTCTTGTGTTGTTTCTAGTTTTATTTCTCCATTTGGTTCTGGTGTTGTTTTTTTTAATGGTTGGGTTTTGCCTTCTTCCTCTTCGTTTGAATTTTCATCTTGTGTTTCTTGTACTGGTTCTTTTGGGGTGTCTATTTCTGTTTCTTCTAAGACATTCTTTTCTATTTTTATTTCATTTTCTTTAATCTTTTCTATTTTTATATCATTGATATTCTTTTCTATTACCATTTGATTGTTATCACTTTCAGTGTCTCCAATGTTTTTAATTTCTTTAGAACTGTCGGTTAATACTTCTTCTTGAAGACTGTTACCTTCATTTGTTTCAACCTTCTCCTCATCCTCTTTAACTTCTTGAACTTTTTTCTCTTTCTTAACTGTCTCTTGCTCTTGATTAATTGTTTTGTTAGACTCTTCTTTTTCAATTTGTTGTCTATTTTCTGATTGAATTTCTGGTTTGTCAATTGTGTTTTCTCCCTCATTAATTATCTCAACGCTTTCTTTATTTTTACTAAGACTTTCTGGAGTTTCATTTAATTCACTATGCCTCTTATTTTCTTCTTTCTTCTTTTGGTCATCTTCATTAGCACTTTCTTTTTTATTAAGCTCTTCATTTTCTTCTTTTTTATCCTCTTCTTCCTTATTAGTTTTATTGTTTCCTTCTTGGTCAATTCCTTGTATATCACCTGATGTATCTTCATTTTTAGATATTGCTTTATTTGTTGTTTCTTCAGTAATTTGTGTTTCAAGGTCTGTTTTTTTATCATTTTTTATTTTATCAATTTCATGTTCTTCACTTTCTTCTTCACTCGGTGTTTTTTCAACTTCACTATTGTCATTTGTCTTTTCATTTTCTTGTATTATTACTTTTTTTAATCCCTCCTCTTGATCAGTTTCTTTAGGTTCAATTTCTTTTGTTGTTTTTTGTGGGGTATTTGTTTTAGTTTTTTGACTCTCTTCCTTTTCACTTTTAATAGTCTCATCTCCTTCTTTAATACCCAATTTCTTTTCTTGAGATTTTTCACTTTCTGTTATATATTCTTCCTGACTGTCTTGTTTATTATCACCTTCTTTAAGTTCTTTTTGGTCTTCTCCTTTATTTTCTTTTGTTGTATTTTCTTGTTCATTATTATTTTGTTTAATTTCTCCTTTAATTTCTTCATTTATTTGCTGTTCAGTTGTTATATCAACTTCATCTTTCTCTTTTACTTCTTCAATTTTCGTTAGTTTATCATCTGTATTAATTTTGTCTGTAGGTTCTTTGTTATCAGTTTTTTCGGTGCTTTTATTCTCTTCGTTTTCTTCTAGTTTCTTTTGTTTTTGGACATTTATTTGATTTTCTTTTTTTATTTCTCCTTTATCATCAATGCCCTTTTGTATATTGTCTTCTTCAGGTTTAATTTCTTTTTGTTCTTCTATGATTGCTTCACCAAATTCATTTTTTAGCCATGGTTCAATTTCATTTTTCTTTCTTGGTAAATTCTTCAGATGATCATAAATTATTTCACTATCATTACTAAATATAACTAGAGAACTGCGTGTGGTTCCTTTCCTTTCATAACACCAACAATACTCTTTTTCATTATTTTCTTTAGTTTTAGTAAATTTGAAAATCACTCCTTCATTATTTTCCAAATAAAAATTTCCTTTTTGTTTGTTTTCTTCTAATATTTCTTGTTCGTAGTCAGTTATATTGAATGAATTATCAGATGTTATGTCTTGGATGTATTTGCCATTGTCCAAGTGAAATACTATATACCCTTTCATTATTGTTTTGGTTTGAGACATACTTTAAATGGATCTATAAACTCCGGTGTCTATATCAATTGCTCATATTTAATGATTACCCCTTTTCTTGAAGAAAAAATTATACCCCAAAAAATTAAAAATGTTTATAGATAGCCCTTTCCTTAGAAATTATAGAAACTATCCTTAACCTAAAATTCAGAAAAAAAGTGTTTGTGGGAAAGGGTTTAGTATATTTTTTTATAGTCTGCTTTTTATATAAATAATACTACTATTTGATACTTCAAATATTTATTATCCAAGAAAACTCCATTTTGAAAGGTGTGATAGTGAATAATGTTTTTTATTTTATGGTGTAGAAATTTAAGACGATGCATAAAATAAAATTTTTATTATAGCACAAATTTTTTAATACCATAAAAATAATTTCCTAAAAGCAATGTTTTAATCCTCAATGAATTTTATTTATGTTTGTTTTATTGAAAATAGTATTTTACCATTTAATTAAGTTTTTTATTAATATTTTCTGTTTAAAGATAATTTTTTTCAATAATTATTTTATAAATATTAACTTATTCTTTTTTATTTTTAATTGTATTTCTATTTTTTTTTTTATTTCATAAAATATAATTCATTAATAATTATGATTAATATTAATTCATTATATCTAATTCTCTATTTTGTTTATTGCACAAAAAGCATTGTTTCTTTTTATAAATTTTTTTCAATCAAACAATTTCTTTTTTATAAAGAATAGAAATTATTTGTCCATTCCTATTTTAAATTAATGATATAAGTTTGAATAATTAACAATTACGTCTTTAGTTCTAATTAAAATTTATGAAATATATCAACAAATAAAGTATTTTATTTGTTATTTTAATAAATAACCAAAGTTTCAAGATTCTTCACTTTGTTTAAATTATTATCTGTTTAATTAATAATAATTCTTCTTAAATATTAACATTACTGTTAATACTTTTGTATTTTCTTCTTATATTTAAACACTTCTTTTTGATTTTTCTTTTATTATACAATTTTTTATCTTTAAATTGTTCTTCCTATTTGGTTGTTCATTTTTCTTTCAAGACTTCTTTTAGACGAAACCAAATCCCTTAAATAATTATTCTTTAATTTTATTTTTCAATAACCTCTATCTCAGCTTACCATTAATTCTTTTACTGTAATACCTGAGTTTGTTGTAATTTTTCATTCATTTCCGTTTAGTTATATAACTATCTTAGAATACTTCTATAAAATAAGTTCTAAGTATCACTTAAAATTCATAGTAGTTTTTATACTAATTACTATTTTTATAGTTATTATTCAATAGCAAATGAATTAAATAATTTTGACAAATCAGATATAGAAAAAGATTAGATTAAGTATAATCTAATTGATAATTAAATGATAATTAATTATTACTAAGGATACTTCTATTTTTATTCAAATAAACCATAATACTTAAGAAGACTGTATTTTTTTATTTAAATATACTAAAATAACTGTGCTTAATATTATTTACAAAAATCTATTATTTTACTGATTTAATACAGAACGTATAAAGGTTCTTTTTGTTCCAATAAAGGATTTTATAAAATTTACTAAATTATTAAAACAACAATATAAGACATAACTAAAAATTTTTATAGAAATGAAATATATTAAGGAATATTTTAAATATTTAATTAAACATAATATATAATGAAATAGCTTGAATAATAAAATCAGTGAGAATCTAAAATACGAATTTATTCAACAGTTATCAAAATTTATAGATATATATAAGATAATATTATAATAACATAAACTAAGTTATTCAAAAAATACTAATTAATAAAAGATATAACCAAGATATCTGATAACTCAATGAAGAAGATAATAAGTAAACACACTTACTTTAAATAAATAATAACATTTATAAGAGAGATTATAAAAATTAATAGAAAAGAAAAAAGGTTAATTAATAGATATGCAGAGAAATGGTTGTTTTATTCATATCAAATATTTTACTTATGTTTTACTGTTGTTTTTTTTTTGAATATGGGATTAGAAACAAGAAAAATAAAAAGATAGGAAGAAACGAATTGTTTTTTTAAGAAAATAAATGTGATAATTTAAATAAGAAAAAAGAACTAATTAATAAAAATGGAATTATATCAATTATTAAGACAACCATATTATGAAGCTATCAAAGAAGAATTAGAGATTACGAGAGACAATATTAAAAATTTAGATTACAGTAGAATTGATACCAATAAACTAAGAAAAGCAATTGGATTAGTCCAAGTATTACATTCGTCTTTTCCTGAATTACAAAAATATGTTAACTTACCAATTTTAAGTTCAACACCATTTGAATTTGGGCTAATGGTAAAACAATATTTTACCCAAAAAATTGAACCGTTTCCACGTCAGTATTTAATACAACGACTGCAACCAATTTTTGATGTATTTGAAATAGTAGACATTGGAATCCAAATAGAACGTATTATTGATGACAATGTTTCTTTTGTTATTGTCTTACCTAATGGAGGAGAAAAGACAACAACACTGTATGATAAAGATTATATTTTACATGATTTTTATATATTTTCAATGAGCTATTTAAATTGTTATCAAAACGAATATTTTAAACGATTAGATTATGGGAAACATAGCCTTCATACTTCTCATAATAATATACTTGTTTTATTTCGTGGTAAAGAGAATAGCATTGATGAATTGGCTGATATGATTAAATCTGAAAGTGAAAATTACTCTTCATTTCATTATAACTCACATGAAATAATTAAACTTTTCTTCCCAAATAAATTATATTATCCTTGTAAAGGAAGAAATTGTAAACATACTCAATGCTATGACATAGAAACAATGATTAGTCATGTCATTCAATATGAAACTTGTCCTTGTGGAAAAAGATGTTCATTTAATGAAATTGTTATTGACTCTCATTTTATAGAAATTATGAAAATGGCTAAGGAAGATGATTGGTGTGTAGAAGTGAACAATGACAAAATAGTTCAATTTTATAGCTATGATGACGGAAAAGATTTGAATGTAGCTATTGAAATTGATTAATTAGGACTTTATTGTAATTAAATTTGATAGAACATCTTCTTTTTCCATTTAGCATTCTTTGTTATAAACTAAAATAATTTTGTTTTAAAGTACTGAAACAAGCACTGCTAATTTTTACTAAAGTACTTTCTTTGGATATAAATTATATTGTATTGAGTTTAATTTCTGTTTCTTGGTAACTATCCTCAAGTCATTAGTTTAGTTTTTCTTTTCTCGTTAGTTATTTAATAAATTACTGAGTCTTACCGTTGATTTAAACTAATGACTTTTATTCTTATTTATCATTGCCCATAACCAATTCATTACCTTTTCACATAAAAATAAATCTCTCTTTTTTAATTAAAAAACAAGTTATATTTCTTTTTTAATAAGAGTTTAAAATGATAAAATAATAATTTAAGTAATTCATTAAAGTTATTAAATTTTATTTATTAAGAAATGATTGTTGATTAAAGATTTTTTCTTTTTTTTTATCTT